TTACAGAAAATACCCTTCAGAAGTTCCCTCACCCCAAGATAACATCCTCAGATTTTTTTTCCTTAACCAACAGACCAAAACACAAAAATATTCCATTTATAATTATTTCAAAAGTCAAAACAAGCTGCAAATCCTCACATTTAAGAGACTGGAGAATTGGAGAATATTTTTCTCATAATTGTCAAATTAGTTGCTGATTAATTCTGGACAACATGAAGGTTAACACACAAAAAGAACTAAATAACAACTACAAATCCTAATTGTTTATTCTAAGATTTAAATAAAGAAACATCAGAGCAAATGACACAAACCTATGGAAGCTGATTGTAAGAGCACGTTCATAATTAAATCCTGATGTGATGATTTTTTTGATTTTATCAACAGTAAACCAAGATGGCAAAGGGACATATAGAAATCCACGACCCCATCTCCAACCACAACGATCTCAAAAGCAGCACAGTGGGCGACGCCACACCTACCTCAGATGCAGAGAGCATGGAGGACACCGTGGAGCTAAGGATTATGATGGCCTATGCAAAGAGGAGACAGCTGAAAAAGGACCCCAAGTCGCCTAAAGAGGACGACCAGGTCGTAACCAACGGTCACACACATGCAAACGGGCCATCGTCACCTCAGACACCAGCCCAGACTGAAACAGACGTGACAGAGAAGAAGAAGGAGAAAAAGAAGATGAGGAAGAGTAAGGCACTGAAACATCTGCGGGGCATTTTCTCATGTGTCAAACCTCAGACACAAGACGAAGACCTGCAGCAGACAACCGAGCCGCCGCATGATGTCGGCGTCAGATGTCGAGGTATTGAAGAAGGTGGGTATCAAGATGTCACCTGCAGAGTATTAAATAAGATGAGAAGTCCCACAGTGTTGCAGTAACAAAGTAGACAGCACAAAAAAAGAGAAACTGCAAATGTCAATATAAAATACTTAAAAACAAGATAAATAGTAGATAATAATATGATATGATACACAAGTAGATATTTAAATATAACAAGAAATATTAAATAAAGACTGATTATTCGATTATCAACATAGGTGCTGATTAAGTCTTTCAAACTGCCACTACTTCTTACAGCTTTACACTGTATATACTAATAGTAAACTACTATAAAATATAAATGTATATACTTGAAATCTAAAGAACTTAAATACCAAATCTTAAAAGTACAATAATATCTATATAGTGGTAGCAATATTTTTATTGTATAGTGATATACTGAATATAACATATATGTGGATATATTGAACCTAATATTTCCTCTCATTTAAGTTTCTGGATCAATACACCCTCCAAACATTTTGCTCCCTTCATGTTGATTTTAATTATTTTTAGTAAAAAGTTTAAAAGGTCAGTATTCTGGTATAAACTGAGATAACATGGTTGTGGAATAAGTGGAACTGCTTGAACAAGACGGAGATCGTGTGAATCAGTGACTCAGTTTCAGGAACTTCTCAGTGAGTCGTAAAAAGAACTTGCCAAGTCATGAGTCAAAGCAGCTGCACCGCAGACCTGCGGCCGCAGGTTCATCATCTTCACTCACCTGCCTGTGACTCAGATCTCGTGACGTAACAGATGAGCACCGTGTGGACTTCTTCAGCATCATGTCTCTGTTGCGGGAAACCCGTCTGACTTGTGGCTTTGTGTTGTTTTTATAACACGTGTTTATTCCCTCTAAACTTTTTTTTTTTTTTTTTTTTATCTGTGTGTTTTATTATTTCTTTCAACTAAAGATGAAGAGGAGGATAAGTTGGAAGATGTGGCTTGCCAGCTGATGAAGCTCGCCCGTGAAATCCCGTTCACTCCTCCAGATTTAGAGACAGACGCTCCAGACGGTGAGTTTTGGATTCCTAAACATTTCAGCAAAAACAACAGAATATTATTCCCCAAATGCAGGAACACTCTTATATTCTCCCAAACCTTTTACTTATATTTACATCAGCCTCGTTCGTAAGAGTCTCCACGTTGCTATATGAGGCTACGTTTTCTACAGACAAAAGCTCTGCAAATGAAGAGAAAATATTACTACAGCTACTATCTGTCTTAAATCACTTTTTCACGCCACAAATCTGTTTTTGCCTCAAAGTTGTCAGACTAAACAAAACTAAGGTAACAATGAAGCAACATTTGGTCGTGTTTTTGTCCTTGATTAAATCTGAATATGCTTTCATGAAGTATTAAATTACCCAAACAGTTTATTTTACATTTTAACGTTTCAAACCTTGGTGTTTTTCTTGTATTTTGTCTGCTGGTTGTTGATCGTTGTGTTCTGTTGTGTAGATAACGTGGAGAAGCTGATTGGTCTGCTGCTGAGGGAGAGTGGAGACAGGCTGAACGAGAAGGTCAGAAACGCTGCATGAATATCTAAAAAGGGCCGTTTGGAAAGTTGCTCTTCGTTGTCATCAGTTTTTCTAACGTCATATTGTTTCTTATAAACCTCACACATTTACTATAAAACACACCCACATTCCACTTTATCAGGCGAGTCTACAGTTCACAGATAAACTTTTATAATTTTATCATCATTTTACAGCTTTATAAAGCTGATAAACTTCTGAGAGCTACTACAAGCTTCTGTAGTGAAGTTATGTCACTGTCGAGTGTTATTTCTAGTTGTGCCCCTTGAAAAACGTATATTTTAACGTGTGTTATATATCGTCAGTATTAATGAAAACTGTTTCAGGGGTGAATAAAAGTTTATAAAACACTGAATATAAAATGTTTCTTGTCTCCAGGAGCTGAAAAACATGGCGATGGCCACAGAACTGTTCTGGAACTACAGTTTCTTCAGAACATTGATGTCGGCTCTTCTCACGAGGATGGGCCTCAGGTCCCCCAACCCCGACTCTCCAGGACCACACGCATCACCCAAAACCCAGATCGCCGTGACCTGTGAGGTGAGAACGAGTTTATGGCGCCGTTAGGAAAATGAACAGTGACGTAAATGCTGACAGTGTGGTTAGCTGCATCCCTCGCTGCAGTAAGGTAAAAATGGCCGACTTGAAAATGTCAAAAATGTTAGCGACCCACATCCAACCCTGTAAGAATACGGAGGCCAAATAATGCAGAGCACCGTTTAAACTAAATTGTTCTGTTTTGCAAATGATTTGTTGGCCGACTTGCAGTACGTTCTTGGCCCACCAGGGGGCCACAGGCCACAGGTTGGGAATCAGGCCCTGTGACTTACGTACAGCATCATTAAGAATCAAAGCTGCTGGAGGTAGAGCTGGATTTAACAACTTCATATAAAGTTATGTAGACGAGTCCAGTGGTTCAAGTCGGAGGGAGCTTGTCCCTGGTGCCTCACAGATCATCTGCATATACAACACTGAAGTCATGACAGAAGACGAGCTGTGATTGGTCGGAGTAAATATATAGTCTGCCGTGTCTCTTGACCAAAACACAGCAAGAATTTATGACCCAATCCGACAAAATGAGAGTATTAAAGACAAAAATATCCTGTCGTCTGATACAGTGAGATCATACCTTTATTTACAGAACTCCAGCAGCTCAGTGAATCATTTTCCTTTGAATTCTGACAAACCATCAAACATGTTTCTGTTTCCTCACAGGCCACAAGTCGTTTGTCGGCGATGGACACGCTGCCAGCGAACCGACTGCTGGGATACGGAGCCAAATATGTGAATGAATATTACTCATCCTGGGTACAGGAGCAGGGCGGATATGTACGTAACACACTCTCACCTTCTTAAAATCACGTGTTTAACCTGTAAACCTTTTCACATTACCTGAACGTTTTCCTCTCGTTTATTCGTGCAGGACGCAGCCTTCGAGAGTGACGACGACGACGACGACGACGACGTCCAGTGATCAGAGAGACTTGGTTTCCTGTTTCACAGCTCGCCCTGCAGCTGAAACCTGGCACACTCGGACCTTCAGGAGCTGCAAACACAATCTAGCTCCTTCAGTTTATTTGAAGCGACGAGCATTAATGACCCACCTCGAACACATAACAACCTACTGAGATGTTCTGAATGCTCTTGAGGACTTATATGAGGGTACGAGGAACTGAATGAGACTTGGGACGCTTATTTTTGTGTTCTGCCAAACCAGCTGTCATGCACATAAACTAAGGCAGGAAAATTATTTCTTTTTGTAAGTAATTATATTGTTAATTTTTTTTCTTTGTGCTAATTGTTAAGAAGTTTTAAAGGGACACTGAGCCGAGGAAGAAACGAGATTATGAGATTTATTTTGGACATTTTTGCCGTTAATAACAGCAGTGGTGGAGATATACGGCGTGGATCAAGCCATACAGTGTGCGCTCAACCAGGGGAGCTACTGGTACGCCCCAAGAAGAATTATTTTTGTTGCGTACTAATTTAATGTGGTTGAACTGTTATTCATTGATTTAAAAACTGTATAAAAAAAACAAAAAAAACAAAACAAACTATAACTTGTTTTCTGTTTTATTTGTGAAGATATGGCTGGAGAGTTTTTAAATCAACATATGTTGTGTTGTAGCTTGGTTTAAAAAAAAAAAACAAAAAAACAAAAAACATTCTCTTAAGTCAAATTAAGAAGTGTTGAGCACTTGCACTTTTTTATAAAAAATAAATAGAAAATATTTAGCTTGAGAAAACATTAATTGTCACTGAGGGGATGCATTGCTATAATTGTTGTTGGTGGATGATCCTGTTTGTTTTTAAAGCTTTTATTAAAATATTTTGTGAATGAAATTTGATAAAAAAAAAAAATGTGTGCACTGTCTGAATCTGTCCAATGAAATAATTACCCAAAAATTTAATTGCCACCCTGTGTAGGTGAGGCATGTTTAAAATGACTTAAGTTATTATAATGTACATGATTGTTCAACTTAACTAAGTGCTGGCCTGATTTTAAAGTGAAAACTGCACCATCTTGTGGTCAAATCAGGTACTGTAAATTGTGATACATACATTAATTGTTTATTATAATTATATATAATAATTATTATATTTGTTTTGATAAATTCGGCGCATAAATAATGAACCCAAACAACACGTGAGATTTGGTTCACACTGTAGAGGCAGTACTTTGTGGTAAAGGAAGCAACAGGAGACACAATTTAAAGTTACAGTTTTATTAAATGTGATCTTATTAAAGTATGTGATTCATGCCGAATTAAAGGGGACAATCCCAATTATTAAATTATTAATTCGTGTCCAGATTGGGAGTTTTAAACCGATATTGATAACGAAAGAAACGTAAAGTCTGTATTTTTGTAAAGGGAGTTTGGCGCGTCGCCCTCTCTGGAGCGTGTCGGGCAGCCCGCTCTGCTGTTTGATGTCTCCCGGCGAAATGAGATCCAACCCGTTCCCCTGCTCACCGCGGACCGCCTCAACCTGCTCACCGACAACAAACAGCAGGAGGACACAGTTCATCAGCCGGTGTCATCACTCACAACAATGACGTCTCACCTGTGCCTCACTGGTTAATTCACCTTCGCCGACTTGTCCGGCGGTCAGCCCGTGAAGAGCGTGCGTTATGTTTAACGTCGTGCACCAGGGTCGCAAATACGTCCCCACGCGCTCCTCGGTCACGGGTGACTCTCCGTTAAACGTGCGCGCGGTTCACATCAACAAATCCCCGGGTACACTCTACGAGCCACCGGAGGCTACGTGGCCGCCACAGGGAGCCAAGATGCGGATCTCCAAGGCTAACAAGGGCGCGGTGGTGGTGAGAGCCGTCCGGCGGTATCCGTCTCCTCAGCCGACCAGTCTGGAGAGTCTGGAGGCGGCTTGGAGCGAGAGAGGGCACCCGGAGGTGAAACCACCGGAGAGTTTACCGAGAGACGGCGAGGGAGACGCTGCTGGGAGCGGGGTGGAGGGTCAGGGAGGAGGGCCCCAGCGGAGCAGGAGGAAGGGGTTCAGACCCCCCGATGTGAGGACCATCTTCTCCCCCGATGAGAGGGACCCCAGAGTGAAGGAGGAGTCCGGGGAGGGTCACACCTTCGAGGCCGGAGCGGAGGACACCTGGTGTGATGCGTGCTGCCAGTACATCTTCCAGCATGGTCTCACCTGTACAGGTGAGTGTGCTGGTGATGGGTAGGAGGGTTTGGGGGTGGTGGGGTCAACTCCCAAAAAAATGAAGCCCCATTAGAGGAATGAGGTCATGCTTCATTAGATTTTAGACTCATTTGGAGGTCAGGGTGGTTTTATTCATGGCCACAAACAAATGAATTTGTGTTTATGGTGTGTAGGTTCAATTTAAAGGGAAATTTAATATTCAGTGGCTTTAAATGTGAAAATTTTCATACTAGAAATCCAACAAAAATTCACTGTTTCCTGAAGGATATTCCTCCTCAGACCTTCTCCATGGACAGACAGCGTAATATTGATCATTTTTACTATAAATCTGTAATGAATAAGCATCATAACATTCATATCTGAGAGTGTTTGTGATGTTTTTTTTAATACTCTGAAAATACAGTTTGGTCGGTGACCTTTTTAAAATCATAGCTTTGTCCTTGGCGTAGAGTAAACCCACTGAAAACTTGACTTATTTTTTATTTATTGGCTCATCTTTTCAGCTTATTATGTTAGTGCTGAAACAATTAAAGAAGTCATCAACAGAAAATCCATCCAACTATTTTGATAATTGTTTTGCGATATTTGTCAAGCCAAAATACCAAAGTCTTAAATGTGTGGATCTGAGGCTTTTTCAGATTTATATAATTATAAATTGAACATCTTTGGGTTTTGTACTGTTGATGAAATAAAAGCAGGTATTTTTTGTGTTTACAGTCCAAATAATTATTGCTACGTCGCTTTTTAAGTCATTTATCATTTAAAAAAGCCAAACATACGCTGGTTCCACCTTCTAAAAGGAAAGGTGAAGATTTGCTTTATTTTTCAGTTCATATCAGTGAATTGAATATCTTTGGGGCGATTGATCAGACCAAACAATCTGAAGACATTAACCTGGGCTCTAGGAAACTGTGATTGACATTTGTCAGTATTTTCTGATGTTTTATTTTTACCAACATGCAGCAAAGTCACAAGCATTAAAAAAAATGACACAAATACATTGATTTCTTAGAAAAACAGAACAGAAGTCAGTAGTTTTATGAAAATATAAAATATAATTGAAGGTCTTTGGGTCAAAAATGATCCATAGGCCACATCTGCACTGACTGACTTCATGGACTTTCAAGGAAGCTCGTAAATCATTTGAATGAGCAGGTTCTTAAGAAAGAGGCATTAGTACTTGTAGATAGCGCTCTCTCACATGGAGTAAATACCACATGTCTGAATGAGCTCCATGACATAAATAGGTAGGGCTCTAAAACGCAGCTCAGCAGCTGGAATGCAGTCAGTATGTAGACAAACCAGTTCAGGACGTGAGTGTCAGTGTCTCCTCAAGTAGAAACTGGACCTCCTTCTTCATCTACTTCTGCCTGGCAAACAATAGAAGTAGGAAGCACATTAAAAGGCTTTTCCTCCTGATGTGATGCGGTCCTTACATGGCTGCCATGGTGCTTTTGTTAGTGTTGTAATGGAAACGAGACCCAAAAGTTTTTGAACATTCAAATTGATGTTCAGTTATTTTTTTCCCCTGTTCCCCCATTGTTTACTTTTTTATCCTGTCGTGTAGTTTTAAATGTGATTTCCAGAATTGGCCCAAATATGGACGCAGCATCTTATCAGGCTGTATTTAGGCCAAACTCGCTACCAGCTTTAAAGAAGAAAAGGAAGAAAAAAATAAAATAATCTCACATTTTATAAGGTGTAACCACCAAATGTTTGATGTTTTTTCTAGATAAATGATTCAGTGTGAAAATATATAATTTGTCATATAGAATCAAACATTTTAAGGAGAAGTTTTGCTATTGCTACATGGCTAAGGTTAGCATTAGCAGCTGTTTACTTACCGGTCTAGAAGATACGTTAGGAGTTCAGCATCAAACTTCAGTCCTTTACTCACCAAGAGCTGTCTCCAGAGGTGGACAGTAACTCCCACGTTACCTCTTGTCTCTATCATGTGTTTTCTTCTACTGAAGTTAGCATGTTTAACAAGCTAGCCCCGGCCCCTCTCCTCAGTTTTTCCGATAGCGTCTGACTGTAGCCTCAGGTCCACCCCTGAAGACGTACCGCTGCCTATTATATATTGGCTAAACACAACAACAACGGCAGAGAAAACATTTAAAAAAAATACCTTTAATTCATAAAGAAAATACACACCTTGCTCTCTTCAGTAATTAACCGTTTTGCTACATTAGCTAAAGCAGGCTAACGTTAGCTAGCTGGCTTTAGTTAGCAAACTTTAGATCAGTATTGCTGCTGTTTAACTGACATTAGAGACAGTTATTTGACCTTGTGACTTTTACTACTGTTACGCTGCATTTCAGCACGTCACAGATAAATATTTCACCAGTTTTATCACAAAAATAAAACAAGCGAGAGACAGAGAACGACACGCAGCAGAGACACTTGAGTGGACTTGAAGCGTGGACATCCACTAGAATTAAATAAAGTCATTTTTAAACCCATTGATCATATTTACTGAATAAAACGAGGCCGACAGATGCAAAACAAACTATCTTCTTACTATGCCTTCGTCCATTTAGCCTTTTTAACCTCATTATGTTTAGAGACAATGAGCCTGCACAATGAGCCCTTTGTTTCCCGTCAGCTTTACCAGCACTGCTGATGGACTTTATGTGTGTGTGTGTGTGTGTGTTTGTGTGTGTGTGTGATATTTCTGCTCTTTTAAAAAGCGTTTCCGCAGTTGATTGCCACTCAGGCAGCCTGTTAAAGGCCCATTACTCCATCTGGTCAACAACATCAGTATCTGCTCCTCGAATAAAAGTCATTTTAGATAAAGAACAAACTTCTGGAGGCGAATCATATCATCCTCAAAAGCCTGTATCTCTCTACTGAGGATTGTGTGTGTGTGTGTGTCATTCACTCGTTCACTTATTAACACCCAGAAACGGTCACTCATGAGCTGGTTGAGCAGGAGCAGCAGTTTTGTTTAGTTATTTCTTTTAAAAATTAATTTTCAGGTTCCTTTTAGGCAGGATTTTAAACGCTAAACTGACCCAGTTTACATTATAATGTATTCTACGCTATGAAGACTTCGTGGTCATACTTTAAAGACAGGAAATGTCCAGTAGATTCTGGCTTTTACTGGGCTTCACTTTCAGGGTTATGTGGGTGCATTTTCCTATTTTGAACGAGTTAATAAACATTAAAGACGCACCAATAAAAAAGCACCAGAGCTCGACTCATACAGAACCTTTCAGGATGAACAATTTCGATTAAAAAAAAAAATCTGATAACATTATTTTTGGTTAAATTGTTATTTAGGAAATGCATAACCTAAACAAACGTTGTGTTACATGTTTTAAGTGACTTACATGTGGTTTTTAAAGACCGTCTGTGGTTTTACTGTAAGAAATTGATTGGAAATGATTAATTGTGAAGTGTAATATTCCCTATAATTATTAGTCCTTCCCAGGAACTGTCCAAGAAAATAACTTGAAAACACACATGCGCAGTATCACCCTGATTGTGCCCAGTTCAGTGTTTCTACTTGTGTCTCAAAGTGGGTCAAGTGAGACTCGATAAGAACAGTTCCTGAAAGGCAGACACTCTCTCTCTCTTTCCTCTCTCTCTCTCACTCTTACTGTGGGTCTCTCGTCCTTTTGTGTCTTTCTTTACAAGGGAGGTGAAGTAATAGAAACCTGCAGGAGCTCTTTGTCTGATGGGGTTTAGTGTTGCAGCAGATACAGTACACTGAGTGTGTAGGTAGAGGGCATTAAAGCGTCTCTGGTGTCTCTGCTGAAGCGTCTGCAGCCGGCGACGGCCTCGTGTCCCACTGTGCTTTTATTTTGACACAACAGAACAGAAACAGAAGAACTGGTTCTAGTCGCACGAAGCATCTTAAGTTAAGGTTCTCCTTAAAGCCCAACTTAAGATTTCCTTAAAATAAAAAACTGTTGCACAAAACCCCCTTAACTCTTCTCCTTAAGGTTTAATTAAAATGTTAACTTAAATATTTAAGATTTTCTCCTTATCTTAGTTTTATACTTAAGAAAATAACCTAAAGTCAGTTAAACCGTTGCACAAAAGACCTTAGCGACCAAAGTCAGGGAGTTTATGGAATAAAAGAAGAGGATGAACATCCCAAGAAGATTTCTCCACGATCAGAAGAACCCGATGGACCCTCAGTGATGAGGAATTGATTATGCACTATAGATTTACTATTACTATTACTACAGCTCCTTTACATGTTAATGATGATCTTTCCAGTCAGTTATTGGAGAAGTATTTCATGTCCATCGATCAGCTGTGTGTCGCTGCGGTGAAGTTTCCATCAGAACAACAGGAGGGGGAGAGAGCGGCGAACTTCTATAATGTCATTTTTTTTAATGACATTTATTTCTTCTGTACAACTTTGTGAGACAATACAGGTCTCCATGGAAACTGTAGAAGTTTACCGCTGTAAAACGTCTTTCATTGCTGTAAACTTTTTTCCTTAACTGTAAAGAAACTTTTTAAGAGATTTTGTGCATCACCCCTCAGTAACTCCCCAGGCTAAGGAGAAATTCAACCTTAAGTGTCATTACTTACCATGACAGTGGTGAAGTTTCACATTGTAGAGCGGTTCTAGTCACTGTGCAGCTCGTCAGGCTGTAATTATAATTAAAATACACATGATTCCTAACATACTGAAAACAGCTTCCCTGTTCAGACACTGTGACTCACTGTGTGCTCTCTGACAGCTACCTAGATCAGTAGGATCATTTGGGCTAATTAAAAACAATTACACATACATACAGTACACTGCACTGTTAGCTTGAAACCTGTTCATGTGTGTTTATTGAATTCCTATCGTTGCTGCTGAATTAGAGGAAACTAGGTAACGGTCACCTATTATTAGTGGGCAAGGCAGATTTGTTTGTACAGCACATTATCATACACAGAGGTCATTCACGTGATGAACGCAAATAAAAGAAGCATGAAATAGAAATAAAAAGCAAAATAAGAAAACAGTATAAAAACAAAAAGATAAACAAGATAG